TATATTTTTTAATGTTTTTAAATTTTGTTACATTCTTCCATATTCAGGTCAACACAAACATTAAGGGATAATAACTTAAAGTGGCTGTCATTTATCGAGCACTACTACTGTGGTAATTATCTTTTACATATTGCTTAACATTGTTTAACAACCTTTTAAGGAAAATATTACTATCTAATTTCAAGAGAAAGAATCTGAGGCTCAGAGAGGTTAAGTAATTTGGCCAAGGTCACTTAGCTAGTAATTAGAAGCCATTCTTCTCTTAATCACTGTTCTGGGCTGCTAGGTTTTGAGTCATTTATGTACATTCTACTGTTTTCTAGTTCCAAATAGTTAGGAATGAGGCATTTTTTGGTCAGAATGAGAAACCAGGCCTCCTGTCACCGCTCTTCCTATTCAGTAGTGAAACAGAATGAGCTGTTCCCAAGGTTTCATTTGGTTCACACCCAGTTTATGAAAGCTGCAGAGTTCTTCAAGCCCATAGTTAAGCTACAAGTTGTAGTTTTTCTCAGTTGTGGAAAGCTTTGCAATGGTGACTCTTATTTTCATCTGGGAGAGGATTATAGGGCTTTATGATTTAATGAAGAGGTTTCAAGTTAAAAATGTTGCCTGATTCTGATTTCTTAAGTTGGAGACTTTTCTCAGGACATAAGGAAGAGGAAAATGATTATCAAGTTACTTCCTGTATGAAAAATTTAATTATATATAGTGCAGTGATTTTTAAGAATGAGGTGATTGTTTAAAATTAAATTTAATTATAAAACAGCAAGCTCCTGAGTTAGACCTGAAAGAAAACACTGTTCTTTATCTCTTGCTTGCTTTTGTACACACAGATGATGTCTGTAGCTTAAATTTGAAGCAGCTTCTGTTTTGTTTAGTTAAAAATAAAAACAGTGGACTGATTACTAAATGAGAGCATTCTGGGGATTTATTGATCTCTTGAGTAATGTGACATTGCTGCACATGAATAGTAGGGACAGAGCTGCCGCTGGACTTGATCTTTTGGACAGCATTGGGTTTAATGAGACTTTCAGATACTGCAGTGGTAATGAATGAAGTTAAATTCCTCGCTTCTGTGGTTTTTTGTTGCTTTTTTTTTAAAAAAAATTATATTTATTTATTTTTGAATTGTAGCTATACTTAGAAAAGGTTTCCTGGGATTAAGAAGTGTAATTATTTAGGCAGCAAACAAAGAGTTGTTTTAGAAATTTTACTATCATTAGGAGGAAGTTTAAAAAGACTGGAATTCCATTGTCTTGTAAGAAGTAAGAAATATTTATTGATTCCCAAATGGAGCTGAAAAAAACCTTTCCTCTTTTAGAAAGTTGTGAATGACCCAGCGAGAGCTCTAGTAAGCTTTACTGAACCAAGCTGCTAATAGTTATTTAATGTTATTCTTCAGTGTGAAAGAATCTCCGTAGATTTTCCTTTTAATCTCTTTGAATTGCAGGCTCATAAACCTCTGTGATGAGTCCTGCCAGTGTTTTCTTAGATCCTACCGTTGAGACAATGGAGCCACAGAATTCTTTCACCTCTTGTTGTCAGACAAATCCAATAGAACACAAGGTCACAAGGGCTGATACTTCTAAAGATTGGAAAGATTCTTTTTCAAGTAGCCACATAAATTATTTGATTTTATCATTATATTCTTCAAGAATCTTTCTTCAGCTCTAATGCACTGCTTTCTATATGTAAGTAAATTTGGAAGTTTCTCTTGTCTCCATATTTGGTTAAGCTTGTGATCACAGCACAGGGTGTGAACAGACCTTTACGTTCCCAGATACCTTAGAAAAATCTGAACGAGTTCACTTCAAAAGAAGCAGTAATCATGTAGTGTCATTGGACTCTCAAGAAAGAGCACACCAAATACCATGTAATGCTTCTCTTTCCAAACGACTGTTTTGTTTTGGGTTTGATTTGTTTTTTGGTGTTATTACCATTCTGTAGCTAAGATACCAGATTTAAAATCTTGGATCTCTTCCTTTAATTAAATCACTTTCTAAGTCAGTTTATGTTTCCTTAATATATTTAGTTGTATCATTTTTCAGCAGAACTCTGAAATAGCTTTTGAATTTTCAGATGCCTAAAAAATGTTTCATTATAATGACCAAAATATTTATATAATACTACAAAAGAAAACTAACTTACCTGTTTTTTCAGACTCCATGCCTGATTCTAGACAATTATCAAAGCTAATTACAGGGTTAGTGTGATTACTTTAGGGGATAGAGAAGAATTGAGTTTTCTAATTATAACCACAATAGTGGACAAGCAGAGATCATTGTTTAAAAAGAAAGAAAGAAAAAATCCACATTGATTTGTTTGTGCTCCTTCCTTATAATAGTTTGTGTGTGTGTGTAGGGGGATGCTGTTGCTCCATTCCCTGGACACCTGCCTTTCAACAAAGGACTTTGGTCACTCTACCCCACCCCCACCTCCTGCATTTAGATTCACCTTTTGCTTGTATATACCCCTCTGCTCATTATACAGTTCTCCAGGGATCCAATTTTCCCCTGAGTTAATCACCCAGCCTTTTTCAGAAGCTGTTAGATTACCGTCTTTTCATAGACTACATTTTTTCAAAAGACTAATTCTTTCCTTTAACTTTTCCTATTTCTATTTAAAATATTTCCATTAGAGTCTAGTCTTTCTAAAATTTTTCATTGAAGTAATATATAGGGAGAGAAGTTCTCAAATCTTAAGTATGCACACTCATTTAACAGGCATCCTTAGAAGACCCCTGTGACTCCTTCCAGTCACTGGTCACTCCATCCCCCGTTTTGTAACATCAAGGAATATAACATACATTTCATATACTGGAAATCATATCGTGTGTTCTTTATTTGTGTCAAGTACTGACTCTTAAAACCAGAATCCCCATAGAAATTTAGACTATGTGCATATGGTATTGAATAATCAAGTCAATATATAGATTTTAGAATAGCCACAGAAGATAGACTTATGTTAAACTCCTTTTACCAGGAAATATGGTCTAAGCCAACCTTTCAACCGAAAAACAAGTCCTGTGAATAAAGATAAAGGAAAAATAATAAAGATGTAAAAGTCACTTTCTTGAGTAGGTGGAATAATAGAAAGGATTACAGGATGTTACAGTAACAAGTAACTAGGTGAGAATAACAGTAGCTTTCCAGTAGAGAAGCAGAACAATAGGAAGCTGACTTGCTTGGCAGTTATATTTGCCAATTATTTCTCATTATTTAAAAATAAAAATGGGCAAAATAAATATATATGAATGCCCCCCCCCCAATTAATGTATTACAGTGTCCAGGATAGGCTGGATTAAAAAGGCTTATTCATCTTGTCATTGTCTGTCTTTTCTGATTTGCTTTAATTGATACCAAAATTGTTAAGATATCTGTAAGATAGCCTGGACTATAGATAACTTGGTTGTTAATTGACTACCTCTATTTTTGCCCTAAATAGGAGTTATAAAATACCAATTAATTACCTTCATTCCTGACTCAAAAACAGCATTTCACTTCCTCATTCAGAAATTCCTCATTCAGTCTGGTCCTTCTGGCATAATTAAGATGGGTAAGAAATTGAAAGATTTTTTTTCCCATCCTTGAGACTTTGAGGTACAATGTTTTCTTTAAATTAGAAGTAACTGAATAACATAACACCAAATATAATTTATATAGAAGGTAGAAATTGTTTTGTTTTGTTCAGAAACTAGTTTGTATCCTGATAACATTCTTCAGTGACCCTACGGAGATGAAAGAACCATCTTCAACCACTGGGCAAGGTCTATATATATCTTTGGATTTGGGAGAGAGTCTAATAGAATGTTGGTACCCAGTATAAATGAAGTGATGTAATATTTGACATACCTTAATGGAAAGCCATGGTGAGTTCAAAATATTGTATAATCTTTTCATCTATTCTAAAATTGTGTAACTCACCAATAAATTTTGAACAGGCAGTTATTAAATATAATTAAATTGCAGGCATTCACACAAGGGAACAAAGGGAAGTATTCTCAGCAAGTGAACAAGAGACTAGTGAGACAGCTAAAGAAAATTTCATTGGAGTTGGGGGGGTGGGTTTTAGTAGTTTCTTTTTAAGCATTGACTTCTAGAAGAACAATACAAGTATGCAGGAAGTATAATATGCCTTTAATAACAAAGACCATTGCCTCCCATCTGTAGCTGTTTTCTTTATCCCAAACTGCATGCTTATACTACTACCTGGACTATATTCTTAACTGAATTCAGGATGAATTCCAGGCTTCCTTGGACTTTGCATCTGTAGGGAAAACTTTGGCCCAGAAAATAGCAAAAGAACATCAATGCAATATGGTTATGGGGTCACTGAAGTATTAAAGGCATTCTATTTACAAGTTATTTATAATTCTTTTGCAAGCAATTGAAGACCAGATGACTAGTATCCTCTTATATTTGGGTAGCGTTTTGTTCTCTAAAAAAACTTCTAGCCTAATCTCATTAGATTTGAAAAACACCCTCCTGAGGTATACTGAGGAAGAGATAACTCCTATTTTACTAATTACCCTTAAGGTTAGAAAATAAAATTTTACAACTAAGGTTCCAATACAGTTATTTATCCCCAACTCCACACTGCCACCTTACCTACAGATACAGTTCATCTGCTAAAAAGTGTTTCAGTCTCCCACAAATCTGATGGTCAGAAAGAATCAACAGATTGACTTGATGGCTTTGCACGTTGCATATTTATAGAAAAATGGGAAAGATTTTGACTGTTGAAGTTTAAAAGAAGTGTTACATTGTGGATTTTCTAGTCAGCTGAAGTCAGTAGTCTTAAAACTTTATTGTCAAAAGTTGTAACCTACATTTTTTTAAATGGTAGGTATGGAATTGTAAGAACCCGGCTGGAGCTGCCTTCTCAGCAGCATTCTTTATAGTTATGACTAAAGTATAAAAACTTTATAATTTTATATTTTACAGAAGATGAGCTAAGAAATATCGGACCAGTAGATGCACGAGTATATCTTGAAGAAATGTCTTGGAATAAAGGTTGGGATTTTTTTTTTTTTTTGCTTGACTACAGTGAAGAAAAGTATTAGGGATTTTTCAGTAAGAAAATTAGATGTTAGATAAATAAGATTTTTTTGTAATACTACTTTTGTTTTTGTATTATTCTCTATGTAATATGGTAAATAAAGTCAAACGTGGTAATTTTTTTCTTATCTTGAAAACTGAAATTAATTCCTATTAGGATTATTTGTCCGTTTTCTCTTTATATAGAATCATAAACTGTCAGGGCACACACACCGACTTGGATACTTGATCTTCACCCTTACTTTTTGCTTATCTCTTAAAGAGAAAAGAATAAATCTATCACTTGGCCTATCATGAAGTCATGTCTTTTTTTCCCTTTTATATTATTAGAAATTTAAAATTTATATCCAATTTTATTTCCCAGTTCCTGTGATAGTTTCTTAAATTACTGTGGTTATTTAACATTAAGTTGGGAAAACAAATGGAAGCCATGAGTACCGTACTTAAGTGTTTCTTTGGGCAAATGAAGAAAATCTTACTATGTCCTAGATTTTATACCTATTTCTAACCCTATAGTTGCATTACTCAGCATGGGCTAGTAAGACCCTAGGGGTTTTTAAAAATTTGGTAGTGAGTATGGATAGGTAGAACACATCCTTCCTACAGCCAAGTTTATTGGAATATTCTTTTAATGGAAAATTCTTAATTTTTACTGCTCTCTGGGAGTTGGGTCACAAGCCATATTGACTTAGAAGAGGAATTAAGTTTTTGCCTGTGGTACCAGTCCCAACACCACCTACTCTCTCCCTACCAACAAAATCCCAGAGTGGAAATTCTTATTTGCAGAAAATGTGCTGGTTTTGCATAATTGAGGTTCTCAGTGGTGGCGATAGTTTTCATCACAGTAAGGAGGGAGAGCTGCTGCTGCAAAATGGTATACGATGACAACACAGGCTTTCACTGCTAGTCTGTGGAGAGCACGCATGAAATGTGATTTATCGGTGAGACTAGGGACACTTTCCCCAAATAGTTTTTTTAAAATACAGTTGTGTTACCTGATTAATCAGTGTAGTATGTGTCTGTTTACTTTCTTATTAGACAAATAATTTTTCTTGCTATAATTGACAGCAGGGCTTTGAACCTATTTAGACGGTTCGTAATTGCTATTGTAAACAAGTGCTGCATATGTGTTGCATAGCAACCAAATCTCTTGCCCAGGGTATTTTGATGAGTAGGGAAACAAATAGTTGTGCCCTGCTCAAAGATGGCAGCCAACCGTGTTGCTTTGAATGTGTGTTGCTTTCCAAATTCTTCCTGTTAGCTCATAAATCATTATATACAACAAACAAATAAATACACAGAGAAAAATAAATGAACCCTTGTGTTGTGCTTATATATTTGAGTCAGGATCCTTAAAGTAATGTGCTGCTATAATAAAGTATCCATATTTGTTAAGCAGCTGAGTTAGCATAGATGCCACTCCAGGCAAAAGCATCAGGCTGTGAGATGGATAGGGCAAGTAATAACATAGTTGCTTCTGAGCAGTCTCTCTCCTCCTAAGATCTTTATGCTGTTGATTCATAGCTTCAGTCCATTTCTTCTACAGAAAAAGATTATAGACAGTGTTTAGAAAACATTGCCCTTGTATGCAAGACATTTTTCTAGTTCTCATTTAAATACATTGTATCTTTACTGAATATTGAATAAGCTACCATAACAAATTGCCACAAAGTAGGTAGTTTAAAACAACAGAAATTTATTCTCTTGACAGTTCTGGAGGCTAGAAGTATAAATTCAGGCTGTCAGCAGGGCCATGTTCTCTCTGAAGGCTCCAGAGGAATCTTTTCTTATCTCTTCCGGCTTCTGGTAGCTCCAGGCATTCCTTGGCTTGTGGCAACATAAGTCCAGTCTCTGCCTCATTGTTGTGTGGGGTTCTTCACCATGTGTCTCTGTCTCTCCTCCCTCACTTCCTCTTATAAGGACACAAGTCATATTAAGGCCCACTATATGGGAGGAGCTCTGGTAGCATAGTGGCTAAAGCACTTGACTGCTAACCAGAAGGCTGGCGGTTCAAACCCACCAGCCACTCCTCGGAAGGAAGGTTGGGCAATCCTACTTCCGTAGTGATACTGCCTCGGAAACCCAAGGAGGGGTCGCTATGAGTCGGGGGTCGACTCGACGGCACGTAACAACAACATACTACAGTATAGGAGCTCCGGTAGCATAGTGGCTAAAGCACTTGACTGCTAACCAGAAGGCTGGCGGTTCAAACCCACCAGCCACTCCTCGGAAGGAAGGTTGGGCAATCCTACTTCTGTAGTGATACTGCCGCGGAAGCCCAAGGAGGGGTCGCTATGAGTCGGGGCCGACTCGACGGCACATAACAACAACAACAATGTACTACAGTATGACCTCATGTTAACTAATTACATCTGTAAGTACTCTATTTCCAAATAAGGTGATATTCACAGGTCCTGGAGATTAAAACTTGACATCTATTTTTTTTTAAATGTTATTGTGATTTGGGTGAAAGTTTATAGAACAAATTTGTTTTCTGTACAGTAGTTCATACACATTTTATTTCATGACATTGACTGCAGTTCCCCACAATGTAACAGCTCTCTTCCCACTTCGTTCCCATAGAGTTACCTACCTCTTCCTGTGTCCATCCCCACCCCTCAGCTATCTCCCTGTGCAAAACACTGCCCTTCTGTGTTTGATTGATCGTTCCAAGGAGTGTATCTACCTGATGCAAATGTTCACCCCATATGCTGTTGTTCGACTGGAAACCATAGCAGTGAGTTCAGATTCAGACCGGAAGGGTAACTGGGGGCCATAGTCTTCAGGGGTCTCACCAGGCTCTATCAATCAGACAAGCAAACCTGGTCTTTTTTTTTTTTTTTATGATTTTGAGTTTTGTTCCACAGTGTTCTCCCACTCTATCCAGGATCTCCTGCACCAGTCCCCGGGGCTATGTGTGGTTGACAGTGGTAGCCAGGCAACATCTGCTATCCTATCTTTCTTGGAGACAAATGAATATTAACAATGAGCTGCTTCTTGGTTTTGCTATACCTATGGAATAAACCGCATTTTTTTTAAAAGTATTAACAAAGTAGTTACTGGTAAACATCTGAAATACTTGTTTTCTTTGCAGATGATCACTCTTTTTCTCTGAGCTGCCGATGTGGTGGAAAATACATTGTTTCTAAGGATGAAGCAGAACAAGTTAACCTGATTTCTTGTGATACCTGTTCACTGATTGTAGAACTCATTCATTATAGCTGAAATTATTCACTATTTGGAAATATTAACTATATTCGGATATGTTGAGAATACATTTGAGCAAACATACAAAAGTTAAAGAAGAAAAATTCTCTTTTAAGTCATCTGTGTTATTTGCTAAGAACATAAGATTGTCAAGCAGAGGCCACCTCGGATTAATAGAAAATTAACTTAGTTATTTGTATTTATTTATAACTTACAGATTGCTCCCAAAAAAAGGATTTAAATTAAAATTAAATTTAGTTAATTCCTAAGGACTGTATTAATGGTTTGTTTTTTCCTTGGTGTACTATATAAGAATTTTCTTTTTCCTCTCATCTTATTGAGTAATAGCGTCATCACATTCCTTTGCTGAAAAAACAGATGATGTTTCTAACTAGGTTATAGGCCTATTTTATCTTTAGCTGAAATTTTAGAGTTATTACAATCAAATTAGAATCATTGTGAATAGCATATGGGTCTACGCAATGCCGTTGAGTTGGATCCGGCTCATAGCGAGCTCTCATTGGGTTTCCGAAGGGTATCGCTACAGAAGTAGATTGCCCAGTCTTCCTTCCAAGCAGTGGCTAGTGGGTTTGAACCGCCAGCCTTCTGGTCAGCAGTCGAATGTCTTAGGCACTATGCCACCAGAGCTCCCTAGTTCTCCCATAATGAACGCTGGATATGGATATTCATGAGGTTATTATTTCAAAGTTAATAGATGGCCAAGTGGCAACTATAGAAAGAAGGATGGTTTTAGAGGCAGAAGGCTCAACTCCATTCCTGGCCCTATATTTCAAATGCATGTGGCTGTACTGAAAGGAAGGAGTCCTGGTGGCACAACAGTTAAGCACTCAGCTGTTAACTGAAAGGTTGTTGGTTCAAACCCACCCAGTGGTTTTGTGGGAGAAAGACCTGGCAGTCTGCTTCCATAAAGATTACAGTTTAAAAAACCATATGGAGTCGCTGTGAATTGAAATGGACTTAATGGCACCAAACAATAGCACTAATATACTGAAGTATGGAGTAATCTCTTAAATGCTGCCATTTTCAATTTTAGAATGTAATTTAGAAAATGGAAGCTTTTAAAAAAACATTTAAAACAGTTATACTAGTTTCCTTTTTATTTCAGATTATTAAAATAGATTATTAATCCCTATATTTATGAATAACAAACCACTGCACTGCTTGTATAATGAAATGGGCTTTTATAATGTACTTATTTTTATTACAGCTGACTATAGATGCCATAACTCTTGTTGTTGTTGTTGTTATGTGCCGTCGAGTCAGACCTGACTCATAGCGACCCGTCCTTGGGTTTCCAAGACAATATAACTACAGAAGTAGATTGCCCAACCTTCCTTCTGGGGAGTGGCTGGCGGGTTTGAACCGCCAGCCTTCTGGTTAGCAGTCAAGTGCCTTAGCCACTACACTACCAGAGCTCCCGCCATAACTCTTAGGGATTTATTTTCCTGCATATTTAATGTTCTTTGTACAATATGAGTTATAATTCATTTAAAGAACCTTAAGGAATCCTTTAAGGGATGACTGAAACTCCTGGGGTTGTCAGATGTCTAAATAAGAGTGATTGCTCTCATGTACAAATATAAATGAAGTATGTGTTCAAGAAGAGTAGTTTACTTTCATTATACCCATAAAACCAAATACTCAAAAAATGAGGTAGTCATCCAGGTTTTTCCCCTAAAAATATTTTTTACATCTATCATAAAATTTACTTTGGTTTATATTTTTATCTATATATCCATGTATTTTACAGACTACAATGTCATTTGCAGAATGTGTTGCTTAATCTGTACATTGAACAAAAATAGCTAAAACTGAAGAGCAGATAGTTTATTGGTCAATACATGGTTTCAATGACTATAATTAAATTCACCTGAACAGAGGATAATCATATCAAAAGAATAAATGCTTGCTAATCATCAGAAAATCTGTGGCCGTTGGGGCTGCCACGTAGAAATCCAAAATCACTCAGAGGCCAAATCTGTAAAATCAAAATGTGGTTGAAGACAAATTAAAAGTGATGTTATATTATCATTATATCCCTTTTTTTCATACATCCCTTTTTTCTGTGCCACATGGTTAAATGCTTTCTCCTTACTCTTCAGTCAAGCACTTTTTTTTTTTTCTTGCATCATAAGACTTTAGAAGATAAGCTTGTAGGTATGTATGTATGTATTTAAACTCTGACGTTCAGAACATTCAAACCATATACAAGAAATTATGTGTGCACTGTGTGAATATGTATGTGGATATATAACTGTGTGTGTATCCTTTCTTTTACTACCCCAAATAAGAGTTAACTTTAAACCTTCAATTAAAAATGTTTAGGATTGTTGTTGTTGTTAAGTGCCGTCGAGTCGTTTCCGACTCGTAGCGACCCCATGCACAGCAGAACGAAACACTGCCCGATCCCGCGCCAGCCCCACACTCCCTGCTATACTTGAGTCCATCATGGCAGCCACTGTGTCAGTCCATCTCGTTGAAGGCCTCCCCCTCTTTTGTTGACCCTCCACCCTACCAAGCATGACATCCTCCTCCAGGGAATGGTCCCTTCTTACAGCATGACCAAAACAGGTGAGACGAAGTCTGGCCATTCTTGCTTCCAAGGAGCATTCTGGCTGCACTTCCTCCAGGTCAGATCTGTTAGTTCTTTTAGCAGTCCATGGTACTTTCAGCATTCTTCGCCAGCACCACAACTCAAAAGCCTCAACTCTTCTTCAGTCTTCCTTATTCATTGTTTGGAGGAAGTGCAGCCAGAATGCTCCTTGGAAGCAAAAATGGCCAGACTTCGTCTCACCTATTTTGGTCATGTTGTTTAGGATTAGGTACTTGAATATGACATCAATTTAAATGTAAAGAAAACAGCTCCAAATATTCACGTGTATTTATTCTTTACTGCTTGTGACAGAAAAGAGGAGCTGGTGAAAACCATCTTTTCTAAGAATCAAACATTTACTATAACTACAATTAAGTCCTGTATTACCTTGACTGAGGCATTCTAACATGGGGCTGTTGGCTCTACACTGTTTCTCTGTAGATGAATATTAATATATGCTCAGACTTATACTAATTGTAACGGTCGTACAAGGGAAGTAGATTTTTTTGAGACTGCAGGTTAGGTAAGCTATAACTAGTTTAAATTTATTGTTCAAACAGAACAATTATTCTGGGAATTCTTAATTACCTCTGTGTGTGTGGGTGGGTAGATAATGTTTTACATACAGCTATGAAATAAGGCTGGCAGTTCAAATCCACCAGCCACTCCTTGGAAGGAAGATTGGGCAATCTACTTCCGTAGTGATACCACCTAGGAAACCCAAGAAGGGGCTGCTATGAGTCAGATCTGACTTGACGGCAGTGAGGTTTTTTTTGTGTGTGTGTGAAATAATTGCCAACATGTTTATAAAACGAAATCGTTGCCACAGTTAAGTGCAGTGACATCCCTTAGATTTCAAAGTTCATATTGAAAGAAACTTTTTCCTTCTATTTAGAGAAGAAAGCCCACATTTTAAACAGAAAATAGTACCTTAAAGAAGATACGTCCTCTTATTAATCCATACGGAATAGGTCCATAGTACCTGGAATCTGTAGAATTCTGTAGATTATCACCTTCTAACCAAACATGACCCATTGGCACCTAGAATTAGGAAAGAAAAACAGCCCCTTTAAAAGAAAACACCTTATTTGGGGTCACTATGCTATTGAGTCAGAATTTATAGCAATTGGTTTGATTTGGTTTTGGAGCACTGTACATAAAAAAAAAAAAAAAAAAAAATGCCTTTTGGAGAAGAGGGAAATTATCCTACAGTTCTCTTTTATAAAATGTATGTAAGTCCTATGATTGCACTTTCATTTTTTGCAAAACAAAATGGTAACTTTTACTAAATAGCAATGATTTCAACTTTTTTAATATCCTATCTTTTTTTTGTCACATGGTTCCCAAACAATTTGTTACACAAACCCAAAGTGAGATTATAAGAGAGCAAAATAGTGTGACAGGATCGTTAATTTAATAGACTTCAAAAGAGGTCATTAGGATGCTGACTGAAAATGCGCCCTTCTGTCTCAATAACAGCATAAGCAGGGCAGCCACTCACTCTGCAACATCCTGGGGGCCAGTACCAAGGCCAGACTTATTAGAATGTTCATGATGAACTAAATGGTAATTGACTGTGACATCAATTACAAATAATCTCATCATTTTATTGGAGTGGGCTTGTCAGAATTCTAATTAAGAGCCCTGTTCTGCCTTTGTACAGGCCATATCTTCAATGCATTGTACTTCAGTAATGACCATCAAGAACTAGAAAGACTTATTAAAAAAATCATCAGTTGTAAAATTAATGATTGTGACCTTCTGCTGAATGAAAAGACCTGTCTCCTATATGTCCTATATATTAACTAGTTATCATAACTTTAAAATTGTACTCAATCACAATGATAAACATATTTAGAACAACACATTTAAAAAAAAAAAAAAAGTGCCTTCTGTGGGGTAATCACTTTCTGGATAGTAGACACCTGTTAATTTTGATGACAGGAAAGGCAAAACCAAATAGGGTAAAGTCAGCACAGCTTGATCAAGGTAAATAAAGACACCGAGAAATACATAAGAAAAAGGAGCAATTAGGTAAATAAAATTTCACAACAGTAAACCCCACCCAAAAATGTGTGGTTACATAGGTAATTTTGGACACGTGTGCAGAAAGGCATGTATGAGTAAATGCATATGCATGTATGAGTGTATCTGTAGGCATAAAACCACATATATAACAAACCACATAGGGGCCACAGTTACATAGGCTTCCGAGACATCCAAACTTTCAGGATTGGTTTCAGGATTAAATGGCTTGGGAACATAATCTTGGGGGACAGCTTAATCAGTTGGCATACCATAGTTCACAAAGACAATGTTCTATATCCTGGTTTGGTATATAGCCTCAAGTTTTCAGGTAGCCATTTAAGATGCAACCATTGGTTTCTACTCAATGTGGCATGAAAGAGAATGAAGGAAATCAAAGCTCAAAAGAACAAACTAGAGAAGAACTAGATGGTGTCCATCCACAACTACCACCCATTATGACTAGGGACACAACAGAAGGTCCCAGATAGAATGGAATAAAAATGTACAACAAAACTTAAATCACTAAAAAAAAAAAAAAAGCCCAGCGCTACTTCACTGATAGAGACTAGTAGAAAATAACTGAACATGTAATTAAAGCTAATTCGGCAGGTCACCTTTCAGGCCAATAACAGATTGGCTCATAAACAGCAAAACCATCAGTAATAATGTGCTCCCTTAAACAACTAACTATATGAGACCAGATGGTCAGTTACTCAAAAGCAAAGGTGAAAAGATGAGGGAAGTGAAACTATCAGATCAGTAGAAACAAACAATGGGAATGATGAGAGTGCAGGCACAAGGTGAAAATGAACCAATGGCATGGAACAATGTGTGTGAAAATTGTTAAAGGGGAGCCTAACTTGCTGTGTAAACTTACGCCTAAATTTTTTTTTTTTAAGATATTTTTTAAAAAAGATATATCAGGAGCCCTACTACAGGCTAGTCACTGAGTATACACTGCTGGAAAACAGAATCCTAGCCCTAATGTGGGGCATGTCAACACCCTTATGGCCCCTTCTAATAAAAATAAATAAATAAAAAACTGCCATCGAGTCTATTCGATTCATAGTGACCCCTTCTTGGGTTTCCGAGGCGGTATCTCTACTGAACTAGATTGCCCAGTCCTCCTTCAGAGGAGTGGCTGGTGGGTTTGAACGGCCAGCCTTCTGGTTAGCAGTCAGATGCCTTAGGCACTATGCCACCAGAGCTCCTGGCCCCTTCTAATAACTTGGTCATTTCAACATAATAGTATATGTCAGTGTCTCCCCAACTTAAGTAGGCATTAGAATCTTGTGATTTCTGGGCTACATCCCAGAGGTTGTGATTGTGGTGTTGAGCCCCAAATTTGCAGTTTTAACAAGTTCACAGGTGAAGCTGATGCTGCTGGTCTAAGGACCACACTCTTTGAACGACTGGCCTCTATAATCCAGGGTCTGACCCTTAGCCTTATGGCTCAGAAATGGGTTTTGTGATCACAGAAACTAAAACCGAACCAAACCCACTGCCATCAAGTTGATTCTGGCTCACGGTAACCATATGGGATAAGTAAAACTGCCCCAATGGATTTCCAAGCTGTAAATCTTTATGGAAGCAGACTGATCTTTTTCCACACAGTGGCTGATGGCACTACACCACCGGAGCTCCTTGTGATCACAAGAAGGGTAGCTTTATTTCTTAAGGGCAGATTCCAGTAAACTTAGGTCACCAGACTGATGTGTAAAATATCTGTGCCAGTTTACTGATTGATAAACCCACTGCCATGGAGTCAATTCTGACTCACAGCGACCCCTCTGGCTTTCTGAGGCTGCAAATCTTTATGGAAGTAGGTTGCCCCATCTTCCTTCCATGGAGCAGCTGGTGGGTTTGCAACACTAACCTGGTTAGTAGCCAAATGCCTTATCCACTATGCCACCATAGCGCCTTTTAAAACCTCCACCATAGGCAGAATAATTGTCAGCTTGGGAGGGACATCCCCTCCTGTGGGCAGCTCCGGGGAAACCTGAGCAATAATCTGAAGGAGGCAGGGAATCAGAGCCAAGAGATGATTTGCCTCTGCCACAAACGCCTCCATCACAGGAAAGGCTTTGCCAAGGGGTCATATTCTCAGTGTCCACTAGCCAACAGCCCCTCTCCCTGGACTTTGAACCTGGATTGAGACAGAAGCATTGCTGGAGAATGGATGCTTTACGTGGAAAGCTGCAGTTCTTACTAGTCTGAAAGCGCCTCTCTCTGCGCTGCAGACTGTTCACAGGGACTGGGAATTCTTTTACTGAATCCTTAAAAATTTATTTAATAGAAACTTTTCATTAGATGTAGCATACAATGTTTTTATGAAAGCAGAACTTGGGCAACATTAGAATTTATTAGTAGGTGCCCTTTATATATATTGGGTTTACTTTCTTGGTTATAACTGGAGTGACGTTCCTGTAAAAGACTATTTTCATTTTTGCACTTTGGAAGGACTTGATTTTTGGAAAAACACATTTCTTATTTTCAGGATTTCCAGTGTTCACTTAGAAGACATTTTCCCGTCTCAGCTTTGGCTTTTTTCCTCCATCGTGCTATTAGTTTTACACCAGGGATGAGATTCTATTTTAATAAAGTCCTTTGTATCAAATTGGGATGCAAAAATTTACGTTTATGTTGTGTGTTGTAATGCTCTATTTTTAAGAATGCTGTAATCATCTATCTAAGCATGGGAAGTTTGGCCTTTTGAATAAAAACACCCTTAAAAATGCCTTTTGCAGTGTGAAACATTTGCTCGTTATTAACTACTGACTATAACCTCAAAAATTTAGCAACAGTTGTTACAATTGCTTTTTAAAGTTCTTCTAAAAAATTTTGTTACCTAAGAAAGTTGAATTACTGACCAGTCTGAAATAATGTACTGGCATGCAATTTATTTTCATTATTTTTTTGACACACATACCCTTGTTGGATTTAATAAGAAATCACTACTTTTTAAAAAAAATATCAAGAATTGTTTTTTAAAAAACAAGTTCATACATGCATGTAAAATTAGAGTTTCACTTTATATCAGAGATAATACAGCTTTGTAATGGCTATATTGTGTAGAAGTATTTGTCAAAAACCTTCAAGTCAATTCTTTGTATTTAGTTACATGCTAAGTGTTCAATCTATATTGTTGTTATTATGTGCCGTCGAGTTGGACCCAACTCATAATGACCTCTCCTTGAGTTTCCGAGGCAATATCACTATGGAAGTAGATTGCTCCATCTTCCTTCCGAGAAGTGCCTGGTGGGTTTGAACCGCCAGCCTTCTGGTTAGCAGTCAAGTGCCTTAGGCACTGTGCTACCAGAGCTCCTTCAATCTATATAAATGTAGGAGTATCTACATTAGGTACTACAAAATCATTCTCACTTTTATTAGTGGAGCTAGTTAAAGATTTTTAAGGACAACAGCAATTCTAGCTCTTTCCTACAGTGAAACATAAGGTTACTCAAGTAGAAAAATAGGTCTGTCTCATGTTACAAAAGAAAGGAAGAGCAAAACTAAATTCTGAAAAGCCACACATAATGAACATTCTCAGTACTGCCTTGGAAGAAGCTGTAAGGTGAAAAAGATCTTCAGTGTTTCTCCTTTAAAATTTTTTTTTTCATGAGTTCTAAAAACAGGGACTGTAATGAATAGTTAAATAAATTCAAGTTACAAAGAAAAAACATTCTATGAACGCCAAAGGCAACATACTATCTTTATAGTATCTATATAGCTATCTATATAGTATATACTATCTATATACTATATAGTGTATATAGTATCTATATAGCTCTTTTTCTACCCAGCCAAGTAATCATAAACCAGGATCTCATACAAATTCCATCTCACGGAAGCTTCCCCTTATATTGCTGCTGACACCAGATTCTCTAATAGTTCAGAGAACTTACCATGTAAAGTCTGCTTTGTTGGGGACTCTCGATTGTAAAATATATTACTTGCTTGATTTTTGTGTAAAAGTCTTTTTATGTGTGTAAAAATCTACTTTTGTAGACTTT